TGGTGATGGTGATGGTGGTGGTGGTGCTGCTGGTGGTGGTGGCGGCGGCGGGGGTGGTGGTGGTGGTTGTGGTGGTGGTGGTGGTGGTGGTGGTGGTGCTGCTGGTGCTGCTGGTGCTGGTGGTGGTGGTGGTGGTCGTGACGGTGGCGGTGATGATGATGATGATGATGCTGATGATGATGATGATGATGATGATGATGATGATCATGATCATGGTGATGGTGATGGTGATGGTGATGATGATGATGATGATGATGATGATGCTGATGATGCTGATAATGGTGATGATGGCGATGATGGTGATGAAGAGGACGACGGGCAGTGGTACTGGACGTCTGCTTTTGTAGCTGCAGTATTCCGTTACCGTCCCTGCTCCTCATACTACAAGTTCACCAGGCACCAAACAGGATTCGCCTACCACACCCTGCCTTGTTCCCACGCCGGGCTAAGGCATAAAGCAGCTCGATGCGAAGACTCTGCATCTTCTCAAACCTGGGCTTCAAGCTTAAGATATATAGGGTTTAGGGTTTAGGGTTTAGGGTTTAGGGTTTAGGGTTTAGGGTCTTATCGCAGATCATGCTCATTGAAATCTTAAATACGAGCAGCTGGCGGCACGCGCGGCGTAAACTGGAGATTCTGATTTCTGTGTAGTTGTGTACTTAACAATGAGCCGCTCGCCCTCCCTCGGCCCCCCACCCCGCAACAAAAACACAACGATGAGTGGAGCCCACATCCCATGAAAGCCAACCAAGCCGCTGCGACTTTGGATTGTCGATCCTTGGCGGCAAAGCCTCCTGCGCCGACTGTTTGAAGCTTTTTTCAAGACGGAAGCCACGATTTGGGACCCTTGGGGTTATATCGGGGCTCTATGAGACTATATCTAAGGGGTATATAAGGGTTATATAGGGTAGCTATGGGGTAACGAGGATCTACAGGCTACCCTAAACCCTAAACCCTAAACCCTAAACCCTAAACCCTAAACCCTAAACCCTAAACCCTAAACCCAAACCTAGGAGTTGCCAGGTCTCTTGCAAGTTCCGGAAGAGGGCCTTCGGGTCTTCGGGTCTGGAGACTCGGAACTTTGGGGTTTCGGGGTTCTGTATGGATTTTCCACAGGACCGGGGTTTAGGGTTTAGGGTTTAGGGTTTAGGGTTTAGGGTTTAGGGTTTAGGGCTTAGGGTTTAGGGTTTAGGGTTTAGGGCGTATCGAAAACAGCCCCACAGAGACTTGTGGTCAAAAAGTGTGGCTTACCAGATGCAACAGAACCTCAATGTGGGTTTCTGAGCACGTATGGTTCCCAGATATGTCTAAAATCATCCCAAGTCTTGCATATTCGTTGAGTGTTCAGTGTCGTGCTACCGTCTGCGGACTACCTTCATCGACAAGCCCTTCAAAGTTTACAGTACAGGCGACGGTAGATGTCTTACAGGAGCGTTATCCGCGTGACGAAAGCTCGGAACGCGACAACTGTCCTCTGCAATCCTAGAACACCACCCCGGAATCCGGACCAGTCCGGAAGGCGAGTAAAGTATAAACCCTAAACCCTCGCGACCCTAACCCTGTCATGTGCCAAAATGCACTATACTCGTACACCCAGATCCCCTAAGCCCTTGCAAACCAGCCTGCTCGTTCATTTCTCTCTCCATGAACTCCTGGGGCAGTCAAGGCTCTGGGTACAGATAACCAAACAAGCAGCGGATATGTGCATGTATCTGTATTTTGGTATATTCTGCACATCCGGACGCACAGAATAGACATGTATAGTATAGGTGTGCACCTTTTTGTGAAAGGGGTTATATGGAAACCACATTTCTTCGTCTTGGGTTTTTTGCGTAAAGGCTGCTGGCAACACTGCCTGCTGCCTTCGGTGTCTATGCTGTTCTACCACTTTAGGCGCAGTTTGGGGAGACTTTGGCTCGGAGGGAGTAGCTGCGTCTTTTGGTCAGCTTGTTTCCTTGTACTTTAGGGTTTAGGGTTTAGGGTTTAGGGTTTAGGGTCACAATTTACTCATAAGACTGGCCGGCCGGAAAACTCCGAGTGTAGATATAAGCCCTGAGCGCAAAACACACAACTGAACAGCATAAGCACAAACCGAAAACACCCCTAGACCTTTAAACCTTAGGAAAGCCCTAACCCTAAAAGCCCTGCCTAACCCTATAAACCCGAAACCCGATCATCGAACCCTTGATACTAGAGAACCCTTATAGTATATAACCTTGCTCAGTGGCCCTTACTCCTAAACCCAATGAGGGTTGAGGGACCACTTGCAAGACCCCATCTGCTCCCGAAACCCTAATATAGGGGTCTCAATAATTACCCACAGTATTTTGGGGGTTCCTTAAAACATGACCTATCTAATTATTAAGGCCCCTATATTAGGCCCGCCTCTGCAACAAAGGAAAAACCCTTGAAGTTCTGGGCTTCGAGGGGTGCCTGCGCCCTGAACCCACAACAGTCAATCCCAACCTCCGTTTAGGATTTAGGGTTTAGGGTGTAGGGTTTAGGGTTTAGGGTTTAGGGTGAATCCTAAACCCGAAAGCAACCAGCCTTTATTACCTACGCATCCCAAAGCCGCTCCGAAACTAAAACTGTAGAAAACCTCTCTACCAACCCCCAAGACACGTCCAAGCAGAAAAAAAAAACTCATCCTGCAGTTGTAAAGGCCCCCTCAACCCTAAGAACTTCACCCCAAACCCTCAAGCTA